GTTCGCATGAACATGATGCCGGCCGACCTAGACCCGAACGTCAAGCAGCAACTGCTCAAGGTTCCGGAGCCTCAGTTCCGCGTAATACTACAGAGCTACATGATGAATCTTCGTCGCAATGGCGGAATTCAAAATGGAGCCTTCCCCCCGGGTCAACCCAATGCTGGGCAGCAAAACTTGCCTTTCAATCAACAACCGCAACAGCAGATGCCGCCTAATATGGGCGGTCCCATGATGAACCCCAACATGCAGCAAAGCATAAATCGTGGCTTGAACCTTACGCAGCCACAACCTGGGGCTGGACCACAGCCTCCTATGGGAGCACAGCGTGCGCCAATGCAGTCTCAGCAGCAACGCTTACAGGCGGCTTCCAACTTGCTACGAGCCAATCCTGGCATCATACATGCTACTGACCCCAAGCCATTTCCTCCGAACGTTTTGAACAATAACATCCGTAGCAGTCTTCCTCCGGATGTTAGAACATGGCAGCAACTGAAGCTGTGGGCTGGCCAAAACCCCGCTCTCGTTCCGGGTGTCGACAGCCAGAAGCTGCTTATGCTACAGGTTCTTCACTTCCAAGATATGGTGCGAAACTCTAACCAAAATGGACCGGGTCCCAATGGCACACCACAGCCTGGCCATGGCATTGCCCCGCCGGCGCAAGGAAATCCTAATCAAGGTCTTCTGAGGAATCCCCCACAACAACCGAACATGCAAAACATGCTCCAGGTCACCCCTCAAGAATTGGCACAATTCCGGGCAAGAATGGCAGGCCAGCCACAAGCCAACATGCCAGACGAGCAACTACGAGGTCTGATGATGTCCATAAAGATGAAGAACCTTCAGCATCAGCGGCAGCAACAGGCGCAGCAACACTTGATGCAGCAGCAACAAGCCCAACGTGGTCAGGCGCAACCGCCTGCGAACATCGCAGTTCAGCAGCAGCAAAACAATCGTCCACCGACTGTACAACCTCCAGCACAACCAACCCCTCAGCCCAAACCAGCGGCCAGACCTCCTCAACCACAATCGCAGCCCATGCAACCACAACTATCCAACAACAACAATGTGAACAAGGGCACAAAGCGACCCAACGAGGACACTGCCGAGTCAGGCGCAGATGCAACACCACAGGCCACCGCCATGGCTTCGACAAAGTCTCAACCCGGGCTTAATCTTACCCATGAGCAAATGTCGAAACTTACCCCCGCCCAGCACGCTCAGTACAAGGCACAGTTATTGAAGGCTCAAGATGCCTCTAACAACAAGATGCAGCAACAACGGGGTGGTGTCGTCAACCATGAAGAACTCCGACAAAGAATGGCAGACCCAGCGAGGACCCGGCAATTCAAGCAGCTGATGGACGAAGTAGAAAAGAGTATCCCTGCCAGACCACCAGTACAGCTGCCGTCGCAGATGCGAATACCACTACAGCGATCGTTCAAAGAACAACTCAGCCGACTAAAGCAGGTGGATCAGGCTCTACGCATTTTCCACGCTTCGTACGATTCCTCTGAGCCCGAGCAAGTTATCCGCCAAATAATGACATCTCGCGTGCTGTTGTACCAGCAGATCGACCTGTCAGATGGCACACTTCGCCCTCAAGTCACTCTTACTATTGAAGAGTTCAAGAACCATATGGGCGCAACACTCAAGTTCGTTAACAAGATTATGGAAAAGGTCAAGCAGCAAACAGCTGGTCAGCAGCCGCAGCCGCAGCTCCAGGGTGGTTCGAATGCCCCGCCCGCTCAACTTAATGCCGCAAATCTGAAAATCGTAGAACAACAAAACCGCAGCCAGAAGCCGCCTTCTGCCCCTACCACCGACCGACCACCGTTCGCCATCGGAGCTGACTCAGGCCACGGAGCAGCACACTACTTCGAGGGAGCGAGACCAGTCACGAATCTGGTGCTGCCGGAGAAGAAGCGCGCAAAGCTTGAGGGTAGCCAATCATCTACTCCCGGTGCTAGAGCGTCTCCTCGAATCGGTTCAGGTACAGGTAACTCGCCTGAACTGAGAAGACAACCGCCCCCTGAGAAGCAAATGCCACAACGGCCAACTTTCCGATGCAACGATGCGAGTTGTGAATTCTCTGTAAGGGGTTTCGATACCCAGGGTGAACTAGAGGCGCATAGTCAGATACATGTCAAGGTCGAGAACCCGATGCAGTTTGCTCTCGACTCCATGGCGGATTACCTGGATATTGACCAGAAGACTGGCGAAGCTAAGGTCGACCAAAACGCTGCCAAACGCGCCTCGAAGCCCGCGCCGGCTGCCCCACGAGCAACTCAACAGGCTGTTAAGCCGGAGCAGACCCCCGGCGCTTCGAACAATGCTGCCACTCCAGTTGGACAACAGCCGGCAACTACGGCGATGGCGCGGGTGCCAACACAAACAGGCGTCAAGGACTCACCGTCGTCGAATCTGCTCAAGACACCCCAGGCGATGACCAAGGTGGCTACACCTGGCTCGGGTGCCCGCGGCAAACCCACACCGGCCAGCATCCCTAAATCTGTACCCAAGGAGCAGCAAGCAACAGCTCCGGAGCCAGTGGTTCAAGACGAAGAGCAGACGCCGCAGCAGCCCATGCTGCCAATGTCTCTTCTTGACTATTCCTACGAAGATACCTTTGCCGCTCTCGATGCGAACGGGCCTTTCACAGTCTTCGATCTCAAGGACGAAGATAACACGTGGGCACTCCGCTCCCGGCCCGCTTCACCATCTGCCACGCCCGAGTCATCTAACAAAGACACGCCTTCCACACGACAGTCTGACATTTCCGAGAACGACAATCTCGTCATCAACATCGATCTCAAGGACGCCGACATGCCTGATGCATGGCACATCAGCATGGCTGGTGATGTCCTCCCAATGGATATGCAACTCTCTGAAGACCTGCAGAATCTGGGCGTTGTTCTTCCTCCCATGGACAGCGAAGACATGATGTTGTTCCCCGACTATGGTCCAGGGACTATGATGGATCTCGACATGCTCGAGAAGACCATGGACAGTATGGGTGGAACACTTGATCCATCCATGCTTTGAGCCTCATTCTTACAACCTTTTTGGAATCCTGTTCCTTTCCTGACGCGTACTTCTGCGTCTATTCTTTCCCATCTTTTTGCCTTCGGGCGCTGTTATGTATCTGCGATGTACCATGATTTCACTCGCTTTCTGTTTATACTGCGTCACTTTGCACGGTGTTCGGATTGATTACGGCCTAATATACATGTATGAGCAAAGCTTATTGATTGGTATGGGGTCAAGGCGCTTTTCATGTTGCAATGGGAAAAGCGGTATCTCTACAGCATTGGGTTGACTTTTGTAACTGGGTCTCGTGTTTGGATTACTGTTTTCTGGTGTGGATATTATACCCCGTATCTTCCTGTCGCTTCCGGCTTCTGCGGTGCAGGGGAAGCAGTGTCTTGAATCTCTATCATTGTTCGTCTTTGTAACGAGTGTTGTGTGTTGATGTTTTGCAGTGAGACGACATGTTTCTGAATCAAAGCCGTGCGAAACGTTGGAAAGGGTAGGCCACCATCGTGCCTTCCCCATGCCGTGTTAGTTACCTCGCAGCAATCTCAAGCTGCGGGTACACTACAGGCAAACTCTGTGACGTAGCGCAATCTTACATACGCCATGAATACTCACAATTGTTCTCGAACACGCTGCGCTGTCAAAGGCCCGCCTGGAAGCACGTGTACCACGGTATACCTCAGAGCTGAACATCGTGGGTGCGGGGTCCATTACACCCTTCTCCGCGCGACCTCCCTACACGACCCCGCCAAGCATCCGCTGGTACACATGACGGCCACCCCATCATACTCACGTAGCTATCTATCTAGGCTGCTCGGAACGAGGGCACAATGAAAAAAAGGTCGGCGAAGACCCCTTTGCGCCGCGCAAACCATGGTACGCATGTAAAGATTAACGTTTGGTTCGACATGACATGATGCAAGGCGCGTGTCATGGGCAAGACCAACCCTAACAGATTGTGTGCAGCTGCAGCCCGTATCCATGGTAGTAACACTCATTAGTGTTTCGGCGAAACAAAGCGGAATTCCCAACGACGTGTTCCCTCTTTTCAAATTTGCCTCCCCCAACATCAAAGATCTGCAATTATCATGTACAAGTGGCGTGCTAAGCCCGAGTATGATGCGAAAGTTGCGAATTGAGCAAGGAAAAAAAGAATGGTGGAGAGAAGAAAAAATATTCCCGTGGTAGTAATGACGTTCGCGCCCGCTGCCTCCGGGATTCCCGCTTCCCCTTGCCCTGCACTGGGCATTGCTGATGACTGACTGGCGGGTATGCAGGGCATGAGGCTGAGCAGGCGTGGCGAAGGCGATGTTGGCAGTTGCTATTCTCGGCATGCTGCATGTGGGTGGTGCCGGGGATGCCACGCGATGATTTTCTTGTCGAGAAGCATGGAGACGTGTCAGTCAGCGTCTTTGTTGGATTGCCCTGGGTGCGCTGTTGGACAAAGGGACATAAGGCAGAATTCTGGATTCATTATTGCGGCGGTAAGAGAGGGTGGACTTTAGGTGTAATGGCGTTTCACTGTGGTGCTGTGCTGCGGGTAAGCTGCTATTTGCGGGTTTGATGATTGTTAGGCTCGGAATCGTTCCGAGTGGTGAAGGTTTTGGTGAAGAGATTTGGGGCGGTGAGGCCTGTCGGTGAGATGACGGGTGAAGGGTATGCACAAGATGATGTGCAGGGTCTTGTACTGTGGGTCTGGGGTAACGAGGTATGCGATTTGCTCGGTTGGGCTGCCTGGTTAGGGATGAATCGTGAATACGCGAATGTCCCCGTTTTGGTTGGGTCGCTCGAGGAGCGTGTTGGGCAGGATTGGGTTGTTTGTGACGGGCACACATGTGGAAATGAGAGATTGCGATGGTCGTGGTGACGGCTGGCGGACTCGCTACGATGCATGGCATTCTATTGACACAACTGCAAATATATACATGGGACTTGTCTTTTTGCATTCTGTTGGCAGTGCACCTTCATGTCATCTTCGATCTCACACCTTCCTTCTGGAAGCCGACGCCAAGAAGCATGCAAATGCGCGTCACCGCTAGGAAGTAGACGAACGGGACGTTCCCCAGATCGATGGCGTTCCATCGCCAAAAGGCCCAGTAGATCTCGCTTCCGACCGGCAACACAGAGAACAAATGGCCTAGGTCGGCGAGCAGCAAACCGACTATGAAGGTCTTCCAGACTTTGACGTCGGCCGTGGCGCGCAGGATCGAGGCTTCCAAAAAAGCAAGTCCAAGGTACAGATTCGCTAACTGTGACATGACTATGGATGTTGAGATTGGAACCGGGAGGCCCGGCGAGCTGGCTGCATGGGTCAAGTCCAGGTAGGTGGATTGGAAGAAAAACGCGTAGATGGCACCTAGAAGGATGGAAGCGGGCTCTAGCCAGCAGAAGACGAGGCGGTAGACGGTGGGTATGGGGGCGGGTGGAGCGGTTGATGCCATGATGTTTGAGCGATGGTTTGGCCCGGTTTCGCGTGATCTAGGTTGTGGGCTCCACGCGATTCAAGATGGTGTACCGTGAAGCGACTTGGATGGCGTACCGTCGGAGCGGTGTAGCATAAGCAGAATCAGATGCAGGAGGCCGTGGTGACAGTGGATCGGAGGAGCCGGATGCTGCAGCAGGCGGTCGAACGGTACTCTTTACGACTTGAAGGACGGTGTGGGTAGTGCTGGCATGATAAGATAAGTGGTAATTTGCAGGGGTGGGTCTGGAGTTGCTTTGGTGAACAGACCACGTTCGGGAGGCACTCGAACCGGCTTGAGATCGGCTGAGTCTCCTGGCCTAGTGTGTGGCACGTCGTCTGGCGTTGTTAACAAGCTCTGTTTTCCCTCTCCTGCGACTACTAATACTCATGCTATAAACCTCGTGTCCGACTCTTTTGCGTATCCTTGCTTTCCGCTAAACCCTCACCCTCCCTACGATTCGCAGCCCGCTTTGCTGTGCACGCTCTCTTAGTCACCGCCGTGTTATCCTGCGACGTTACGATTCGCTTTCTGTTTCGCACCTGCCCTTCACCGCAACTCGTCGGGCTCAGTAGTCAGCATCCCTGGGAGCATGCATCGCAGGCAGTCCATTCTGTCGCACCGACCGAAGACCTCTTCCGACGTGGACGACGACACCTACACCTCTGCCGCGCCGCCGCCGCACACGATGAAGCGCACCATCTCGCAGACATTCCCTACCCACTACCAACACGACGTCAAGGACACCAACATGTTGGACGCCGTCAACGAAGCCACCATGCACGCCGACGGCCTGTCGCAGCATTCACAGGCCAGCTCCTTCTCCCGCGCGTTTGGTGCAGTCGCTGGTAGTTTCACCCGCCAAAAGACGCGCCGGCGCATGTCGTCCGTGTCGTCCGCCACACCTGCACAGCGTCGCCGCGGCTCCATTCATTCCTTATTCGAGTCGTTGCCCTCTTCGAGCGCTAGCCAGAAATCTACCATGGATCAACAGCGAATGCCCCTGCAACACCAAGACTCTGGCATTCCCACTTTTCAACTGCAACCACAAAGCACTAGCTCAAAGGCTTTTGCTCCTTTCAAGCGCCTGAGTAGCATGCGACGCCGCCCCACAGCTTCGGGGCCATCGACAGACATCACCAAAGCTCTCTTTACGCCCGCCGTCTCCTATCCCAGCCAGTCCGTACCAGGCGCCGCCGCCCGACAAGCAGCAGCCGCCGCAAACCAGGACCGCCAGAACCAGCTACGCCGCGAGCAGGAACACACCCACCGCTTTCTCAATGGCCTCATCACCACCTCCATGCGTGATGACGACATCAAGGACAACGAGAGCGGTGTGGACATGACATGTGCTTCTCCCATTGTCCGCGCCGACAGTGTCACGGAGAAGAAGATGAGTGAGTTGGCAAACACCAGTCATTGGGGCCACGCTAACAGTGTCACAGTCGATCCCTTCCAACGCCTTCCTGCCGAGCTCGCCACCACCGTTCTGTCAAACCTCGATGCCGCTTCTCTCGTACGGGCCGAGCGCGTCTCGCGCAGCTGGAACGAACACGCCTCGTCACCGCACGTCTGGCGGAACGTCTTCCTCCGCAAACACGAACCCGAAGTACACGTCTCCCCTGCGCCTATCCAAATGGGCGGCTTGGGCACTGGCAAGATGGCAGGCGGCAACCCAGCACCAGCCCAGGACTGGAAGCAGATGTTCAGGGCGCGGAGCACAATCGACGGGCGATGGAAGACCGGTACACCCGCTGCCATTTACCTGAATGGTCACACAGATAGCGTCTACTGCTGCCAGTTTGACGAGAACAAGGCCATCACCGGCTCCCGAGACAGGACTATCCGCGTATGGGACCTGAAAACTTACAAGTGCATCAGGGTCTACGGTGGACCCAACCACCGGCCAACAGCCAACACTCCCCCACCCATGGAGGAGCGACCGGAACGAGTCATCAGCCACGCTTCGCTCAACGGCACCAAGGTTGGCAACGAGATATACACCGTCCCCGCCGACTACCACGACGCTTCCATTCTCTGCTTACAGTACGATAGCGAGATCATGGTGACAGGATCCTCGGACTACACCTGCATCGTATGGGACATTACTGGCGATGAGTACGTTCCCATGTACCGACTCCGCGGTCATGAGGCTGGTGTCCTAGACGTCTGCCTCGACGACAAGTACATCATCTCTTGCTCCAAGGACGCCATGATCAAGGTCTGGGACCGTAAGACTGGCAACTGCGTCCGCACACTCAAGGGTCACAGAGGCCCCGTCAACGCCGTTCAGCTACGCGGCAACTTCCTCGTTTCCGCTAGTGGCGACGGTGTAGCTAAGCTCTGGAACCTTGAGACTGGTGTTTCAATCAAAGACTTCCCGTCCGAAGACCGTGGTCTCGCCGCTGTTGAATTTTCCGATGATGCAAAATACGTTCTCGCCGGTGGTAATGACCACGTCGTATACAAGTTTGATGCTTCAACCGGCGAGCTGGTCCACAGCAGAGTTAAGCACGACGGTCTTGTACGATCGCTGTTCCTCGACGCCTTCAACGGCCGCATCGTGTCTGGCTCGTACGACCAGAGTATACAAGTTTCGGATTATGAGACTGGGCAGACATATGCTGTGTACAAGAACTGGACAACGAGCTGGATTCTCTCAGCCAAGAGTGACTACAGACGCGTTGTTGCTACAAGCCAGGATGGCAGGACTTTGATCTTAGACTTCGGCCACAATGTACCCGGATCTGAATTGCTCGCTGGATCGAAGTAATCAAACATGGTTAGCTGGATCGCCTAACACACGGTTCAGACAGTGTCCTTAATTCTTTGGTCGTCATCGACCTTGCTGCAGTACCCTCGCAGCCGGCCCTTCCCGCACCCCGCGCCCCGCCATTGTCAAGCCAAGTGGCATATATATACCCCTCCGCGAAAAAGATCGGGACAAGGAACGGGTTGCAGACGTGAGCATATACAACCAGGCCGGCCAAAAGTTTTGTTGCAGAAGAAGGTGTTGATAAATCTTTCCCCAAGTCAAGCATAGCATTACATCGGGCAGGCGTTCTCCGTTATCTTCTTCATGCGTAGCCTCTGAGTTTATTCCCATCCTTTTTCTCTCTATATTCTGTTGTTGCTTTCTCCCGTCTTGCTTCGTGTTAGACTGCATTACTAGCATATATTTTGCGGGACGTGGTCACTTAGCCATGTTTTTTTCCCGATTGCTGCTGTACTTCGGCTTATTAGATCTCTCCTTTGTTGTTGTTTTTTTGTGGGGGTTCTGGGCGTAGTTATAGGGGTTGTTGTTGTGTATAGATGCTGGGATGGAGATGAGTGAGTGATAAGCAACTAAAGACGCTCCTTTAATATCAAGATTATATACTTCACTCTTCGTTCTCGTGTCGTGGCTGTGTGTCATGCGTCGTGCCGTTTAGTCGCAGTGGTCAGACGATGTATGGTCTGGTGATGGCCCGTGATATTGGCAAGCACGTTATACGTGTTTCAAGCACTGCCATCCTCCCAGGGAGACGCGTGAAGAGATCAACTTTCAGCAAACCTCTCTCATCATCAGGCACATTAATCCCACGAGCCAGTTCAATAGACTAGAAAAAAACATCAACATTCCACGCAAAGGGTATACACAACAACCACCACACTCCCCCTCCCCCGTCCTCTCCCATCCCCACTACCAAGTCCCCCTCCTCATCCCCACCCCCTCAACCCTCTCCCACCAAGCCCCACTCCTCCCCTTAGTCGCCCTCTCCATCCACGTCCCACTCCGCCCCTTCGTCGCCTCGTTCGCCAAAGAAAACACATACGGCACTTGTTTCCTCTTCGAGTTATTCTATGACCCCTCGTTGTTCTTCTCGTCGAGGCAGATGCACAGCGCGGCGATGAGCGCCATGTCGACGCCGGGCGCGATTTGCACGCCGTAGGTTTGCTGCCCGAAGAATATGTCTTTGCCGCTGAGGAGCTTGCGGTCAATGCGGGCGACGACGAGGCCTAAGGGGAGGGGGGGTTAGTCTGGGGACTGGGGAGGGGAGGGGGATATACGTACCTCCTTGCGCCTCATCCAGGATATCAGCCTGAGTATCGAAGAAGTCGCCTTTCATAGTGAGGCTTTCTTGCTTGCCGTTTTGCGACGTGAATGTTGCTGTTGCTTTGCTTCCGAATACTGTATCTCATCGTCAGCCAACTACATTCTTGCATCAAATACCAAACCTCCCCCATCTCCCCTCTCCCCTCTCCCTCCCCTCTCCCTCCCTCTCCCCAAACACCCCATGCACTCACATTTAAAACTACTCTTCACCTCCATAATCTTCTCACCCCCCGCACTCTCCACCACATACGTCGAGTGAATATGAAAATGCTCTTTAACAATGCTGCACAGGTGGTTACCCTGCATATCGAACATCTTCTTGCGGCCCGTCAGGCTCATGACTTTGCCTTCGACTTTGAGCACCGGCGTGCCGTTTGCGAGTTTGATGCTGAAGCTGTCGCCGCTGAGGGACATGACTTTTTCTTTCAGCACGAGCGTTTCGGGGCCGGCGGCGAGGAATTGCGGGAATACGCCGATGGGCTGGGGGGCGGGGGCGAGGGCCATGGTTGTGTGGGTGGGTGGTTGTTGTTGGGGGGAAGGAAGGCTGGTGGTGGTGATGTTGGGGTTGGGGGTGCTGCTGCTGTTGCTTGTCGTCGGGTGTTAGAGATAGGTGCGCGAATGGTAGGTAGTATAGGATAGAGCGACGTTCCGGTGCTGGGAGTCAGATAGTAAGAGCAATAGGTATGAGTCTGGAGTCGGCATTGGCATTTAATCACATCTATCTGGGAAGCCTTACGTGACGCTAGGCGGTACTACCGTCGATCTTGGGGCGGTGCTTACGGTTAGGCAAGCACGGGTGGGGCTGAGCTGCGGCCGGCCAACCGAGAACGATGTCATGAGGATGCCAAGTACCCTATCACAAGACCACGGAGGTGATGAACATGACATGGACCGTGTTAAGGAAACGGTAATGCATGCTGCGCCGGCCAGGACAGGAAATACTGCAGCCGTATGTGTGCTAGTATTGCGTCTTGTGCTAGAAATAGAAACGTGGTAAGCAGCATGCATACTTACCCGATGCATCACTGGATCAACAAGGTGCACGCAGGTCAGACTGTGATATTGCAAGACCAAACTTTTGAGCATTGGGAGAGACCACTATGAACTCCGCCAACCCTATAGTCGAGACCTCTAGTCCGAATTGCCCTCGCGCCCCAACATACATGACAAACATGGCGACCATATGCACGAGGCTGGCTTTCAACGAAGCACAGCGTAGAATATATACACGGACCACAGAGCCGATATAAACAAATGGTCTAGACCCAGGGATTTCTCCCTTGGAGAGCAACAACCAGGGGGGTATGAAACTAGGCACCGTTCCCGATCCGGCAGTATCGTGAAGAATGGAACTGAAAACGACTATAGTAAAACAACAAACAGTAAAGGAAGCCGACAAGACATTAGTTCTGGGCCGCCAGATTGCGGCCGGATTAAGGACAGTATGTGGTGAGTAGTGGAACCTGTCGAGCGGATCCTGGGGTATACAAGACAAGACCGACAAGAGATGCGAGATGGTGGGTACAATGCGAGGTGAGCAATACGCACGTTCATGCGTGTCGTTAGGTAAAACAGATGCTGGAGCGAGAGTAAGAAGGCAACAAAAGACTAGTAGATCATTCAAACGTTCTCTGTAAACCGAGATGACCTGGATCCATCCGCCGAAGGCAGACTTCTACCAAGAGTGCCTCTGGGTGGGGCATCAGGATTTGGAGATTGTGGCGGACTGAGATAGTGGCGGTCCGAGAAGGGGTTGCCCTCATCAGGATGCCGTATGACTGGTGTCCTGGCTGGGCTGGGTCGAATGTTCATGGGTCCTGACTCTCGGTTCGTTGGGCTGTCACCGATCTCCTTGCCAAACTCTTTTGACATGCCGGGACCGCCATATGTGCCGTGTTCATCTTGGTAGAAAGAAGATCCAGACATTGTGCCGCCACGAGAGAACTGATCTGATGTCATGCCCTCGCTGAAGGCGGAAGGAAGCTTGCGCCCTGACACCCGTTGAAAGCTGCGTTCACCACCACTGAGGTTGGTTTCCGCAGTCTTGCCTGACAAACCAGAGAAACGGTTCAAGAAGGCGATAGGAGCCAAATTACTAGCTGTGGTGGGTGCTTGCCTCATCGACTGGTTGTTATCGGTGTGATCGTCGCCAGTGAGTTGTAAAGCACCGCCCTGCTTCCGCTTGTGACGTCTAAGCAGCAGCAGTATTATGGCGAGAATGAGCGCAGCGCCTGCCAAACTGCCCACTACACTTCCGACGACCTGTGGGGTTTCAAGTGGAGAAGGAGCGGTGTCGGCATCAGCATCTGAGATGCCTGCTGTGGTGGCAGCAGGGGCAGCCGCCGTTCCAGACGCGTCCCCACCGGCACCACCATAGTATGCTGTTGTTGACGCAGCATCCGAGGAGATGATGGTACTGCTAGGGAAAGCAGATTCTGCTGAAGTTTGAGAAGATGACGCTGCGTCGGACGAGGACGTGAATTGCGATGCCGATGAAGATGTCGAGCGAGTCGGAGCGTCTGCGATGGTCGCAATCAAGTCAGTCGCAGTTGACGCCGAGATGCTGTCAAGAGAGGCGAATGAAGAAGATGAGAACAAGGAAGCAGTGCCTGGAAATGTTAGACTTGATCATGTTGGCAGTATCGTCTGGCTTACTAGATGCGGTCGAGTTCAAGATAAAACTAACATCTGATAGAGGCACAGGGGCTGCAGATGGAGTCGCAATGCTTATGGGGCTACCAGTTGGAATTGGAGATGCGCTCAAGTCGGAGGTGGCCGGGACTTGGCCGCCTGTAGAATATGGGTACGCAGGAACGGTTGGAACCACGAGGTCACTTGGAAAAGGTGGGACTGCTGGGACGGATGGAAGCACAGGAGCCGCAACTGTAGGTACTGCTGGTACTGCTGGAACACCGGGTGAGGGAGCGGAGGGCAGTGGTTGCTGCGCCGCGGGAGCTACCGAGGGCGCTGGTGCGGGTGAAGGCGCTGCGACTGCTGCAGCAGTCGGTAGTGCAGGTGCATCTGGGGACTGAGGTGTGACGGGCGCCATAGTCTCCTGGGGGATAAAACTTCCACTGGTATCGACGGTTCCCACTACTTCGACGGCGACAGTGACAACCTTCGTGTTGCCTAGCGCAGCACGACGGTGAAAGAAGCGATGGCCTCTGCTCATGCTGTCTCTGGCTCTCAGTTCAGGGATAAAGTCGTCCTGGCTTGATTCCTCCTCTTTCTCTTCAGATTGCGGCACAGGTTCGCTCTGGAGCGGGACGTTTTGCGCTCGGTGACGGAAGCGCGAATCGAATCTGGATATCCTGGAGGGTGTTGCAACGGGGTCCATAAAGGTCTAGAGACTGTCCAGGCAATATGGGCTAAGGCGATGCTTCCAGAGTATCGGTGGCGAGGTGCGCGATTTGGCGGTACATGTGTTGTAGGGACGGTGTTGCGAATGAGCGGACGTACGGGCTTCAGCCGATGCAGGGAGTCCAGTCAATGGAGTGGGTTTGGGTGGAAGCGAGTGAATGTCGGCAAAAGAATGGACGCCAGGTGACTGACTGAGGGATGGTCTGGAGGCGGCAACGATCAGCACTCACATGTCAGGAGGATGAATTGCGAGGAGGACCTACGTGAAGGCGATCAATAGGCCAGCATTTGCTTCGCGACGGTCGCGCGGTTGAGGGGGCAGACGGGGTGGTTATGGGGAACGGGCGGCGGACGCAATTTCTAGCGTCGTGTATCGTGCAACGGGGTGGGCCAGACGTGGTGTGGGTGTCGCGCGACGGCGGCTCCAACAGCTGCTGTCCTGAGGGTCCCTTGGCCGTGGTAGCGCTGGGTCCGTGGAATTGTCGACGTCGCGGCGGAAGCGTCGTGGGAGAGAGCGATCGGGACACAGGGAGCAGACACAGACACTTTCACAGCGCACGCCGACGCTCCAGCCCAGCCAGATGCAGCGAGGAGACGAGAAACCGTTTGGGGTCCGTCGGCCGTTGGCACAGACCCTGTGGGCCTGATTGGCCCGCAACCGAGATGATATGTCCAGGAATAGCAGGCCCCACCGGCACACGATATCACCACACGCACGAAGCAGCGCTGGATCTTCGCTGCCATGACGACTGGTGACGACGGCAATCTCTTGCTTAATCTCGTCCTCGCCCACCCGTCGCGCGTCGTCGAGCTTCACTCTTCGGCAGTACAACTTCGGAGAATTGGCGTACCATGGTCCAAAGGGGCTGCTAACTAGCCGTCCCGCTTGCACCTGCAGTGGCGCCACACCATCCAGCGACGGCCTTTCAGGTACCGCATTCTGGAACGGTGTATGCAGGGCCATGGCCCACTGCAAAGTCTGTCGAGGTGTTATTCTTAGTTGCCGCCCTTGGGTTGTCGCACCTGCCATTGCTATTGTCGCACAAGCATCGCCGACTCGTGCTCGTCGCCTTGGGGGACTCGCTTGCTGCAATCTGCCGTCGTGCCCTTTCCACCACCGCCGGCCCGTGTCTGCTGGCTGGCGTATTGCCAAGCCCGAGTAGTGTTCATTGTTCGCTAGGGTGGCCTTCATAGTTCACCACCAACATCACGAGCTTCCTCTCTGGAACGCGCCACTGTCTAGTATGTTTGTCTGGAGCCCCTGGCCTATCGCGTCAACAAACAACAGCGCATGAACCACGCCGAACAAAGAGCGAGGCCATCCACGCCGTACGACATTGCCCTCCTGATCCAGACCTGCCCTTCAGCATGCCTCATTCCTCATGACTTGTGAGATGTGCCACTCTGCGGTGCATGACTATTCGTCATATAGCTTCACAGACCTTAGCAAACCTAAACGACAAGGCCTCAGTGATCAGCTCTATACGCACGAGTCATGCACCTTAACACGGAACTTCAAATAGCCTCTGACACGAGCGCGACTTCGAAACACAAACATATAGAATGTCTATGTAACTATATAACCAAAGGGGTGATCGGCGGCGCGCCAGATTCCGCGGTCCGGTCCCTTGCTGCTTTCTAAGTCTTTGTCTCTCCTAGGAAAGCGTGCGTCTCATCGGGTTCCACACGCCCAACCACGACTGCCTGCCGCTTGTGGACTACTACAACGCGTTGCGAACGTCTTTTTTGGTTGAATTTCAGCAGACTGACGGTGCAAAGTGTCGAACCAGTTGTCTTGTCTTTCTAGCGCGTGTCTATTCGTTATACCTACTTGTTGAGCATGCGTATAGGTGAATACGCGAGTGGCGAGCGAATACGCCGTCCCTCGTATCGCACCTGCGTATGAGTTGTCGCGTTTTACCCCACATTGCCCCTCTGTACTGCGCGCCTTCCAAGCCTCGCAAACACTTCCCAGTTTTCAAGACACTGGTTATATAATTCGTGCCTCTTCCCATGCGTGTCGCCCGTGTCGTAACAGGTGCACCAACACCCAACAATGACGTCGCCAACAAGTCAAGCAATGGACCCCCAAAAGCACCAAAGACGCCCACCACCTCTTCCTCCCCGAGACTCTTCAACAAGTGATGCGCCTCCACCCTACTCCGTCATGGGCATGTCGTCGCAAGACCCGCGCTCCTCTTCAACGCAGTCGCTCGTCCCAGATCCCTCGCAGGGTGACACCGGGCGACGGCGGCTAATGCTCGTTTTCATTCATGGCTTCATGGGCAACGAAACAAGTTTTAGGAGCTTCCCAGCCCACGTGCACAATCTTGTAACCATCACGCTCGCCGAAACCCATGTCGTCCACACAAAGATCTATCCCAGATACAAGTCTAGGGATTCGCTTGAAATTGCGAGAGACAACTTCTCGAGATGGTTCGGTTCTCTCACCCATCAACATGCTCAGGACTGACAGCTGTCAGGCTAGCTCCACACGAGGATCAATGGACCGACGTTGTCTTGCTCGGTCATTCCATGGGTGGCTTGCTCGCTGCAGACATCGCGCTAGTATTTCGCCATCGCATCGTTGGCATCATAAATTTCGATGTTCCGTTCCTGGGCATGCATCCTGGAATTATTAAGGCTGGACTAGGCAGCATCTTCAGTTCACCGCCAACGCCACAGGACGCAATTGTGCAAGACGCCGACGTTGGAAAGAGGCCCAGTAGAATGAGTACAATCTTCAACCCAAAGCCTACGGATCCCAATTACAACCCGGCATTCCCAAATGATGTGAATCTGCCAAATCGGAAGGGCTGGGAAAACAGCTTACACTGGCTTACCAAACACTACAAAGACGGTTTAAAAGAAGCCACTAAAGGTCTCGTCAAGTCTCATTTCGAGTTTGGTGGCGCAATGGCCGACTACAAGGAATTGAAGAACAGATACGCAAGGGTGCGCGCGCTTGAAGAAGACGACGAAAGCAAGAGAAGATCTGGGTTTGGCCAAGGGCGCACAGTACCTCGCGTACGCTTTGTCAACTACTACACTGCAAGCACCGGGAGACCCAAGAAGCCGAAATCTCCCAAGTCGCCTTCTCCAAAATCACCATCTCCATCCCGCTCCTCCAATCAGCAACTACAGCATCAGGACAGCAACATGAGTGCCTCGAGTGAGGCATCGCGACATATACCTGCTCAAATAGAGGAACAGGAGAGGTCGAGAAGTTCATCGATCACATCGTCCGAGCCAGAGATGACACACGTGCATCCTGAACCGATGGCAGAGTCTCCGCCGCTATCCATTAAAGTCCACGAGCATCGAGAGGACGGTGTTGTGCCTGTCAGCCCTCAAGACCTCCTCTCGGCTACCAGCCCTACAGCACCTCAAACTTTCGAGGAACCAGCGCGCGAAGACAGCGGTCCTCCAAACTTACCAGAGATCCCGCCTATCCCGCAGGAGCCACCGTTCGTTGATCTGATGCAATTCCCCGACAAGGCCCAGCGCAAAGCTGCAGAGAAAGAGCACGACCAGGCTCTTAAAGTATATCAGAAAGCTGTCAAGACACGCAACAAGACGATCAACGAACGGACCAAGATGGAAGAGAAATGGGAAAAGGAAAAAGCGAAAGAGAAGAAGGATCGAGAGAAGGAAGAGAAGAAGAGGCAAGAAGAGCGTGAGAAAGCCAGGAAAGAGCAGGAGAAGGAAGAGCAGAAGAAGGCCGAAGAGGCAAACAACATGTCAGCAGAGGACAAGCAGAGGCAGAAAGAAAGAGAACAGCGACAAGCAGAGGCAGAGCAGAGAGAACAAGAAGCGCGACAAAGGCAACGAGAAGCAGACTTGCGCGACGGAAAGATACCCGCAGAAGACAAAGCCTCACCAAAACGTGCTACCACCACTGACCTGGAAGAGGACATTGGTGCCATTGAACTGGGCGACTCCGAACCAGCCCACCACAACCCCCAACATCCATACGCCAACTACCAGTTCTCGCGCAGCGGCATCATGCGTCAAGACACACCAGACAACCGCGCCGACTCCTCCTACACCCTTTCCACAACGGACAGCCAGAATAGCCATCGATCAAAGACTGAGTCTGAAGGAAGCGCGCCTGCCAAACCAAAGAAGCTCAAGAAATTCTGCATGCTACCGCCGAAAGACGCGGATGGGAATAAAGATCCTACGTGGATACGCGTCTTCATGGAGAACATGGACGAGGTGACGGCACATACCTCGCTTTTCTTCATCAACGAGACGTATGAGAAGTTAGTGGGGGATGTGGGGGCGAGGATAGAAGACTGGGTTAGAGAAGCGGATAGTGTGAGGTTGGTGCGCGAGATGAGTGAGGTGGGAGATGTGAAATCATGATTTTCACTTGTCTGAAGATACCCGTTGTATGTATAGCAAGTTATCGTAGATAATCCCTGCGTTGCTCTCTCTAAGACTGAGGACTGGTACTGGTCCACCCCATCTCCGGCGCAATACCCATAACCCTGCCCCCCACAACCAGCCCCCAAACACCCAGTCCCAATATCCCGCTTCCGCCGTTCGCCATGCCCGCCCATACGCCACTTGCGGCCGCCCAGCCTAGACTCAGTGTACCCAGTAGCAAGACTACGAGCTCGCTTCCTCGTATCGCTTCATTGAATTTCTCCACGAAGGGAATTTTCGTCTGGGTCTTGTCGTTCCAGAAATTTTTCATGTGGACCCGAGCGAGGTATGTGGCTGCTGCGTTTGCTGCGCCAGTACCGATGAGGATTTTTGGGGAGGAGAGACTGGGGATGGTGAGGAGGGCGACGGAGGTTAGGAGGCTGAGGAGGAGCTGTGAGGGGTTTGTTAGTTGAAGATGTTCTTGCGTTGCCCTTCTAAGGTTGAGAGGGAGGGGGATTACGAACCGTCACAGTCCCACTCGTCTGCGTCGACCTTGTCTTATGCAACCTCTGCGCCGCAGTGTTTGACCATTCTGCAGCTTTCTCGCTCTGCTTTTCGTATTGTTGGAGGCGCGTTATGTTTTGGTAGGAGAGGTAGAGGCCGTATGCGCTGAGGGCCGAGGTGAGGCCGAGTTGGAAGACGCTGACGGTGTAGATGGAGGGGGAGAACATGGTTGGGTGAGAGGAGAGCGTCTGGATCAGTGCAGGCGGTAGGGTTGGAGGAATTAGAGGTGTTGTGGTGATGTGGTTGCTGGGGTGGGTGTGAAGGTGTAGAAGGAAGTTTGGTGGAGGGACGGGACGCTACGTCATTGTGTTCTAGAACTTGCAGGGTTGAGGGGATGGGCTTGCTGGCGACTGCGTTGGAACGCGATACCAACGCGACGCGACGACACGAACACATTTGAAACGCTCTTGCTATCTGGAATAAACATGTCGCATCTACTCCATGTCGTTACCCATATCTATGTTTGGCCCATGCGCCAGATTCGAGAAAGGGCAGACTAATCAGCTTCCGTCACAAATACCATGCATGCTGAAGACTACGACGAGTCCTTCGTGTGGAAGTGCAGGCTTCATGCCTTCGCATTTGGTCACTTGCCCTATCGTTTGTGGTTATTCAACTACCTCAACTGTCCATAGTTCCCTCGGCACTGTTCTGCTCGGCTTCAAAAGATATCCCGAGATTCTAGCGCTATATCCAAAAGCCGACCGGCTACGGATAAGGAGTATGTTTCCGACCTGCCTTTTCTCACAACGTCGCAAACATGGCTTGTGTCGTTCCTTCTGTGCTGTTCAAGCCGTCACCAAACCATGCTTACTACTAAAGTCGCAGCGCGAAGGTACCCCCTACACCGATATAGCAATTTGCACGCGAGGAGTCTGGCTTCGCTTGCACCGCGAGTGTCGATCAGTCCTCTCGATGCAGGCATACCACTCGACTACGACCGACAGGTCTTGCAGCTCAAGTCTGTTAGATATGGCTCGCGGCGCCCCCTTACCCTGACAGAAAAAGTGCTGTATAGTCACCTTTATACTTCAGACGAGCACCACTGGTCTCTAGATGAAATCAGGCGTGGAGAGACGCTGTTGCACCTCCGCCCAGACAGAGTCGCATGTCATGATGCGACAGCCACAATGGCATTGCTGCAGTTCATCAGCGCAGGCCTCCCGAGAGTCCAAATCCCTACAACAGTGCACAGCGATCACCTCATTGTATCGCGCGACGGCGCCGAGGAGGACCTTGTCCGTGGAAAAAAAGAGCATCGCGAAGTCTACGCGTTCCTTAGTAGCGCAGCAAAGAAATACGGAATCGGCTGGTGGAAACCTGGCGCCGGCATCATCCACACCACTATCTTCGAGAATTACGCGTTTCCTGGAGGCTTGATCATCGGGACGGACTCGCATACGCCTAATGCCGGTGGCATGGGAATGCTTGGTATTGGAGTTGGAGGTTCTGATGCAGTCGATGCGATGGCTGGTATGCCCTGGGAGCTCATGTGCCCACAGATCGTAGGTGTCCGACTTACCGGTAGCCTGCATGGATGGGCCTCGACAAAAGATATCATCTGCAAATTTGCGGGTATACTGTCTGTATCAGGCGGAAAGGGCAAGGTGATTGAGTTCTTTGGCCCAGGTACGCAGACGTTGGGTGCCACGGCCATGGCAACAGTCTGCAACATGTCAGCTGAAATTGGATCGACCTCCTGTATCTTTCCCTACTCCGAGGCTATGAATCGATATCTCTCGGCGACGAAGCGTACGGATGTCGCGCGCCTCGCAAACGGCTACAAGAATATCCTGCTGACCGCAGATGAAGGCTCCGAGAAGCATTATGATACGGTTATCGAAATCGATCTAGACTCGTTAGAACCACATATCAACGGCCCTTTTACTCCAGATCTTTCGCATCCTCTTTCAGAACTCAAAGATGCTGTAGCAAAGAATGACTGGCCTGTGGAAGTCAGTCACGCCATGGTAGGCAGCTGCACCAACAGCTCATACGAAGATCTATACAAAACGTCGCAGCTTGTCGACCAGGCCAAGGCTGCTGGTCTGCCGAAAGTGAAGACACCGTTTCTGGTCTCTCCAGGCAGCGAAGACATACGCGCTACTGCTGAGTCGGAGGGTATCCTGCAAACTTTGCGCGATGCAGGTGCTGTTGTGCTGAGCACAACCTGTGGCCCTTGCGTAGGACAATGGCAGCGTACAGACGTCGATGTCAAAGCCCGCGAGAGAAACACGGTAATTTCCAGTTTCAATCGCAACTTCGTTGGTCGGCACGACGGCAACCCAGAGACCTGTTCATTTGTGACTTCTCCAGAGATGGTGACGGCTTTTGCCTACTCTGGAAGGTTGGATTTCAATCCTGTCATCGACTCTCTTCAAATCGAAGGGTCAGCGCAGGGGTTCCAGTTGAAAGCACCAAGAAATGTCGAGTTGCCCATGCAGTTCGTCGTGGGCGAAGATTTCTACCAGGCTCCAGTCCATGACGCCCACGATGTGGCAGTCGACATTGACCCACAATCTGAGCGTCTACAACTACTTGAGCCCTTCAAACCCTGGTCTCCCGGCTCGACGAAAGACATGCCGATTCTCGTCAAAGTCCAAGGAAAGTGCACGACCGATCATATTAGTCCCGCAGGCCCGTGGTACAAATTCCGTGGTCATCTTGAGAACATCAGCAACAACATGCTTCTTGCAGCTTCGAACGCCTTCCTAGGTTCCGACTCCAAGTTGCTCGGCCACACGATCCACCCGCTAACCAGCGAAATCGGACTTGTGCATGAGGTCGCCCGAGACTTGCGCGATCAAGGTGTAAACTGGTGTATTGTCGGGGACTTCAACTATGGAGAAGGGTCATCGCGTGAGCATGCAGCGCTAGAACCGCGTTTCCTCGGCGGTGTCGCGATCATAGCGCGCTCTTTTGCCAGGATACACGAAACCAACCTCAAGAAGCAGGGCATGCTGCCTCTGACTTTTGCGAATCCGCAGGACTACGATCGTATCCAGTTGGGCGATCGCATTACGCTACAAGGTGTTGAAGACGGCGAGCTACGGCCGGGAAGGCAAGCTAGCATGCGTGTGGTGCGCGCGAATAATGCAGGAGAGTGGATCGCGCCGCTCAACCATAGTTACAGCAACGGTCAATTGAAGTGGCTGAGAGCGGGGAGTGCGCTGAACCATATCAAACAAACGGTCTTGGGGAGGTGATGCAGCAGACTGGAGTTGGAGGCGTGGTTTGGTGTAGGCCCTCGGGGAGACATTTACAACCTTGCAACATCAGCAAACCCAAAAGTCTCCACTCGATGTCGACATCAGCGATACTAGCCATTGAGATATATAACTGCCTCGGCGTTTTTGGCTGGACCGCTCGGTCTAAGGAAGTTAGATAATGTAAAGACGCCACGGAACCCCGCGGTCATCGCCTCGATTCTGATTGGCGGAAGTCCCACGCTGATCTACAAACGCAGGCCGACGCGTTCCTGGAGCCCTAGAGCCGTCTCCCGTAAGCCGTGAGCGGGCAGCTAGTTTGAGACAGCTGTTGACTGTACGTGATTCCGACGACTCGTATCGAGCTTCAATTGACCTTTCGCAATGGCTCAAAGAGTGCTTCTTCGAACAGGCCGGGGCTTGTCGCTCGCGCCTCGCTCCCTGCAGATCACCCGCTCCTTCAGCACCGTCCTCGATACCCCTGTCGACCCTGGAACTCAACAATTACGCTCACCGGCGCGGACAGGCTCCGTATTCGAGAACGCGCTCAATGCAAGTGCGCCCAGGACGAGCTGGACGAAGGAGGAGATTACTGAAGTCTACAATACTTCGCTGATAGACCTTACACATGCAGCGGTATGTCACACAGCTCCATCACTATTTGGATGGACAATGTCTCATCAATCCCGTTGTAGGCTTCGGTGCACCGGCGCTTCCATGACCCCGCCGCCATTCAGATGTGCACACTGTTCAACATCAAGACTGGAGGCTGCAGCGAGGATTGCTCCTACTGTGCGCAGTCATCGCGTTACGACACAGGCTTGAAAGCTACGAAACTGTCATCTGTTGACTCGGTCCTGGAAGCTGCGCGTGTCGCAAAAGAGAATGGAAGCTCAAGATTCTGCATGGGAGCTGCGTGGAGAGACATGCGAGGCCGCAAGACCAATCTCAAGAACATCAAGGAGATGATAAAGGGGGTGCGCGGTATGGGTATGGAGGCATGTGTTACCTTAGGCATGGTCGGTAAGTCTATCCAGAAGAACACTCATGTGAAGCATACACTGACTTTGTAAACCTTCACGTAGATGCTGCGCAAGCAAAAGAGCTCAAAGACGCTGGATTGACTGCATACAACCACAACGTCGACACCAGCCGGGAGCACTACCCCAGTGTCATCACCACACGCACCTACGACGAGCGACTCGCCACCATCAAGAACGTCCAAGAAGCCGGCATACACGTGTGCACCGGCGGTATCCTTGGTTTAGGCGAGAAGGCTCGCGACCACGTCGGTCTCATCCACACCGTAGCGACACTGCCTGCTCATCCTGAGAGCTTCCCGGTCAACGCCCTCGTACCGATCAAAGGCACGCCCCTCGGCGAAACACAAGCCATCTCCTTCGACGCCATCCTCCGAACCATCGCTACCGCGCGACTCGTCATGCCTACCACCATTATCCGACTCGCGGCTGGCCGCCACACTATGCGCGAGGAGAAGCAGATTATGTGTTTCCAAGCGGGCGCTAATGCTGTCTTCACGGGCGAGAAGATGTTGACGACTGCTTGCAACGGTTGGGAAGAGGATAAGGCTATGTTTGGCAGATGGGGACTGAGGCCGATGAAGATGGAGGAGACGATTGGAGAGCAGCGTAAGCTTCCGGGACAGGATGAGGCTGAAGCGGTTGTTGCGGCTGCGGAGGCGGAGGCTACGGTTCAGGCACTTGCTTGAGGTCACACATGGTCTATGTAGAATTATCATCACAGAGTTACCACGCAGTAAAGCACTGTAATGCTGAGCCGTATGATTCTCTCAATTGAAGCTAGAGTTTCGCTTGCACGACCGCTTCTTGTACAGGACCTTGTGACTGCTCATCTGCCTGACTCTCGCACCATTTCCCAAGCAATTCTACGAGTCTATTCACCTCCGCTGATGTGTTACCAGCATGTAAGCAGATCCTGACTCTAGCAGTACCCACCGGCACTGTTGGCGGTACAACCGCCCGGACCATCATCCCATGAGTCTGCAGAAAGCTCGCCAGGACTTTCGGTTTTGCCAATTGTACTGCGAATATGGGCGATCTTGGGCATGCACTTGGAATGGTGAGTGCCTGACCAGCCGATTTCGAGTGTCTTTGGAGATAAATAAGACTGGTATAGAGATGCTGGGTAAGACTTTGTAGATGGGCTTGTAGTTTCACGCTCTGGCCAGACTGGAGTAACCGGTACGAAGAGCGTATGAGCGCCAGCGAGGGGTAGGATAGGAATGTCGTGTAGATGAGCGGACGTGCGTAGTTGATGAGGTAATGACGCAAGGTGTCTGAGCCGAGAAGGATTGCTGTCAATTGCTTAGCATACACCACAGACTTGGAGAGAATGATATAAGACGTACCTCCGTTCGCCGCTACGGCTTTGCCAAAGGTGTGTAGTCGCGCGAATATACGTTTCTCTAGGCCTAGTTCACAAACCAATCCTCTACCCTCTGGTCCTAATACACCAGTAGAATGTGCCTCGTCCATAACGATGTATCCTCGTTCAGGGCCCAAGACTTCTTCTACGACCCCCACCATCTCTTTCAAAGGGCATACGTCTCCGTCCATACTGTAGATGGATTCCAATGCCACAAACACATTACAGCTCTTGTCTCGCAGACCCTCATTCTCACCAAGAACAGCTATCAAAGCATTCTTTAGGGCAGATATGGAGTTGTGTTCAAAAGCAATCGTCCTCCCCGCTCGTGACAACCTCATGCCGTCATGAACACTTGCATGTACAAGCTCGTCATAGACTATCACATCTCCCGGCTGCGGCACACTCGCAAAGAAGCCCGCGTTTGCATCAAAACCACTGTTAAACAGTAGTCCAGATGCAGCTCCATGGAAGTTGGCAATCTCTTGCTCCAGTTGTTCGGCGTACGTCGAGTTGCCATCTAGCAGTCTTGACCCGCCGCTACCCAATGGCAGATCAATCCTTTGCAGCTCTTGAAAGTACTCCGATTTGAGTTGTGGCGAAACGGATAGCGACAGAAAATCGTTGGACGAGAAGTCGGTCTGGTTTTGAAGTGGTAATGTCAGATTACGGAGTGTTGCGTTTATTCGTCGGCGATCGAGTAGTTCTTGTAACTTGTTTTGCAACGGCTTCGAATGCGTTTTGCTCCCCATATCTTTCTGTAGAAGCTGAAATCACGGACGCCTTTGACCCACGATAACGTGACCTTGCGTGATGGTGTGGAGCTGACCAAATGGCTGGCGTGGTAGGATCAGCGGAAAGCGGGAAGGAAGCGTGGGGTCTGCCGCGGCTATCCGCGTCGTCGAAAGCTGTCAAAAGTAAAAACATACTCATTAGCTAAAAGACCGCATAAGCTGACCCCTCGATGCCGTCGGAGATGCGGCTTGACTCATTACATTTGTACCTGCATGTTTAGCGTCGGTGTGGACGCGGAACCACTAGCGCACTCTCCGCATTGGACAGCATGCAGGTGCAGCCATCTACCATAGCACCTTCCTCAACTCACGACTACCTGGACTTCAAAAAGAAATGGCGAAGGTGCCAGGAGGGTTGTGGAAGAACGCGATTGCTGTTCAGGTCTATGGTGCCAACACGGGAGTTGGCAAAACAGTCTTCTCGACGCTCCTGGGTGCACATTTCGGTAGGGCAAGCCTCAAGAGCAGGGCATCGCCGTTACGCCATGGGCCTTACAAAGTACAATATGTAAAGCCTGTATCTACAGGCCCAGCTGATGAAGCCGACGATAGGTCAGTGTAGTGCTGCGTGATCCGACAGATATTTGGAATGCAACGGCTGACTGTACGCTAGCTATGTGCACAAGTACACTGGCCAGCGTGTTTCCACACTTTTCAAATTCGACAAAGCTGTGAGCCCGCATGTTGCGGCAAGAGGTTCGGGGCGCATTGTGAGTCATATCCTTATAGTTGTATTTTCACCAATAGTGATTGACTAGCAAAGCCCAGCGATGAGCTCATCAGCCAAACGGTGTTCAAGACGGTCCAGAAAGCAGCCGGCACATTAGATCAGGGTCGGTTATTCTCCATCATTGAGACAGCTGGTGGAGTTCTTAGTCCTGGACCTTCCGGCACGCCACAGGCGGATATCTTCCGACCACTACGACTTCCTGCGGTGCTCGTAGGTGACCATCGGTTAGGTGGTATCGCCTCTACCATATCAGCTGCAGAATCCCTGATCATGCGAGGATATGATATCGATGCTGTTGTGTGTTTCGACGATAAGAGCCAGTATGAGAACGCAGATTACTTAAAGAAGTATTTCATGGATATGGGTATACCAGCTTACAAACTACAATGGATTCCGAACCTCCAGGGCGTTGCACCAGGTACGAAAGAAGAGACGGAAATTATGCAAGATTACTACAGTACAGAAAGCGACAGCACATCGGTAGGAACGATCGCTGAGGAGCTGATCCATCGCCACGACCAGCGACTCAGTCGCCTAGGCTCGATGCCGTACGAAACCGAGGACAAGATTTGGCATCCTTTCACACAGCACAAGCATGTGAAGAACGCGAACGACATACTAGTTATCGATTCGGCGTACGGGGACTTCTTCCAGGTCAAGCGCAAGGGCAATGAAGAGGTGCCTCATCCTGATAACCAGACCTTGTACCCAGCATTTGACGGCTCCGCATCATGGTGGACGCAAGGACTTGGACACGGTAATCCGCGATTAGCACTGGAAGCAGCATACGCAGCAGGACGCTATGGTCATGTCATGTTCGCCGGCGCCACACACGAACCAGCTCTCACTCTAGCAGAGAAGATACTTTCGGGCTCGCCACGCGGGACCCGTTTGAGGAAAGTGTTTTACACAGACAATGGAAGTACAGCGACAGAGGTTGGTATCAAGATGGGGCTGCGGGCTTCCAGCAAGCGCTATGGCTGGGATAGCGCAAAAGAGTCCGTTGGTGTCCTTGGACTCAAAGGCAGCTACCACGGAGACACGATCGGTGCCATGGATGCTTCTGAACCTTGTGTCTTCAACGAGAAAGTCGACTGGTATCGCGGCCGCGGCTTCTGGTTTGACTACCCGACCTTCAAGCTCAAGAATGGCCAATGGGTAGTTGAACCGCCCAAGGGCATGGAAGAAGAATTGGGTCCAGCTCAGAACTTTGAGAGTCAAGACGGCATATTCGATTTCGCTACCAGGGGTAGATCGGCGCAGTACGAGGCCTACATAGAGAAAACGCTAGACGAGCTGGTCAAGAAGCAAGGCAAGAAATTTGGTGCCCTGGTCTTGGAGCCCGTCGTCCTCGGAGCCGGAGGTATGCTGTTTGTGGACCCGCTCTTCCAGCAAAGCTTAGTACGCGTCGTCCGTCGTTACGACTTTGCAAACGGCTCCAGGGTTACGGAATCTCCGAAGGACGAGAATGCTTGGTCTGGTCTTCCCGTCATGTTTGACGAGGTGTTCACTGGTTTGTACCGTCTGGGTCGCTTCTCTGCGGCCTCATTCCTTGATGTCCATCCCGGTAAGTTTTCACTGTACGAAGTGCATGTGAGACATATACTGACTTCGCACCTCTACCTCTGCAGACATAAGCGTGAACGCGAAGTTGCTTACCGGAGGTTTGCTTCCGCTTTCGATCACCAGCGCAAGTCAATTCATTTTCGAAGCTTTCTTGGGCGACGAGAAATCCGAAGCTCTCTTGCATGGACATAGCTATACCGCTCATGCAGTTGGATGCCACGTTGCGAACACAAGTCTAGACATCATGGAGAAATTGAACTTCGGCCATGAGCGGAACTTGGCCGAGAACAAAACCAAGATGGTAAGCCGTGGCAGTGACAATCGTGTGTGGAGCATGTGGTCCGACTCCTTCGTGGGGAGCGTCTCAAATCATGAGAGGGTTGAGTATGTGAATGCTCTGGGCTCTGTTCTCGCCGTGTCGCTCGTTGACGAAGCCGGTTCTGGTATGTCGGTCCTTTCTCCTCTATATTTCTTATCTAATGCGACCTAGGCTACACTTCCTCGGCAGCAGTTGGCCTTCGCGATGCTTTACTCCACCATGTCTCTGAATCACAGGTACAGATTCATTCGCGCATACTGGGTAATGTCATCTACCTTATGGCGAGCATGACTGCGACGCGCTCTCAACTAGCTCCTATCGAAGCGGCGTTCATGGAAAAGTTGGGAAGTGTTACAAAAGCTTGAAGAGGTGTCGTGGCATTGATGTACCTCGTGCCACCCCTATTCACAGCCCGCATGTAGACATTTGACGCGAAGCTTTGTGTCACTACTCTCAAGGTGCACAGGAGTCGTGCGTCTAACTAAAACAAATAACGAACAGTTTGCGAAATTGAAACTCATCACATATCCTGAGCGGCATAATTACCAGCATCCCGTCACCTGATATGCGCTGGACAATTTCGCCAATCACAACGACCGCAAACTTGCTCAGTGATACCAGTAGCGTGCATCAACCCTTCCTTTAACCGGGCAACAACAATGTCGGTGCGCCACGGGAGTCAGCAACGACTTGCATCTCTTATTCCCGCTGCCGGAAACGCGTTCATAGGTGATGAGTTTGCTGTAGCATACAGCAATATGAGCAAGTATCTGCGATTGAGCACCCGGAAGTACACTATTCTGACTGCTCATAGGCCCCACTGCCGCATTCTCACTTCTATACAACATATAAACACGTGGATCACAAGCATAACAGGTGACGAAAGCAAAAGGGTTGACATTGTGTCTTTGAAGTAATAAATACTGTCACCCTTGACCCGCTGTCGGACTGGCGACCTTGAGACTGGACCAAGCTACCACCTTACGAACGAACAACACGAAATCCGGACCATGATGTCGATGCATTCCATGCACAGTGAGGGTACGCCATGGCTTACCCAACCCGTTATGCTGCATTCCTCTCGAAAGTACACCTGCAGTCTCAAAAGCGACACGCTTTGTAAGTGGCAGCAAGGGTACTGGAGATTTTGGTACGAAGCCGACCACAGGTATGCTCTTCCAACACTCGCATTCTTCATGGCAACCATCATTCTCTTCGCCATCCCTTTTCTCACCTCGAAGCTCTTACGAAAACCTCCCCCAAAGATCAAGGTTGTGCGACAGCTGCTTGCCATCTTTCGTTACCTCGCCTACCGTTCCTATCGCATCCGGCCATTGAACTGGAACTCCGCACCACTCGGTATTCTCATACTTGGGGCGATAGGCACAGTCTTCTTCGTCTGCATGACACTCGGTCCGCGACCGTACTATTGGCCCAACCAGAAGAGCCCTCCGATCTCATTCGGAGGCTCACCACCGATCGCCACACGAACAGGATGGATGTCGCTCGCTTGCCTACCCTTTATCATGGCGACGTCGACGAAAAGTAATATGATTACACTGTTGACGGGAGTATCGCATGAGAAGCTGCAGTTGTTCCATCGATGGATCAGCTATGCATGCTTTGTGCTTGCTTTGATACATACATTCCCCTTCATTGTGTTCAATGTATGGAAAGGCACTATGGAAAGCGAGTGGCATACGGATGTATGCTATTGGACCGGTGTCGTCGCTCTCATTGCGCAGGTTCGTGATCAAATCCGTCTCCCTCCCGTGTGGAATATAGACTATGCCCAGAGGAAAGCTGATGAGCGTTCAGGCCTGGCTGACATTCGCTTCCAACTCCTCCCTTCGGAACGTCAGCTATGAGTTCTTCAAAGCATCTCACTTCATCGCGGCCCTGGTGTTTGTCTTGTTCTTCTTTCTCCACTGCGACTTTCGGCTGTCGTCCTGGGATTATTTCATCGCAACAGGCGTCATCTATACACTATGTTGGCTTCATAGCCACATGCGCATGTTCTTTCAGTACGGTATCAAAACGGCCGCGGTCAGCAAAGTCTCGAACGGTTTTGTCAAGATTGCGATTCCGATGAACGGCGGCTGGAAAGCGGGTCAACATTACTTCATCAGAGTCTTTGGCCTAGGTGTACACGGAATGACAACACACCCTTTTACGGCATGCTCTCTTCCGGAAGCGACTCGCTCTTGCACGAATGAACTCGTCTTCTATATTCGACCGCAGGGAGGTTTTACAGCACGCTTGGCGAGGCACGCTCAGCAACATCCTAAGTCAAGCCTAAAGGTGTTGCTCGATGGCCCTTATAGTGGCATAGACATGAGGAGAGTTGCGGCAAGCCAAAGTACTGTGGCTATTGCTGGCGGATCTGGTTCTGGCTGGCTTTTGCCGCTAATTGAAGCGTTCCTGCGGCAGGATGAACATCAGGCTGCAGTGAGCGCAACAGACCCGCACCGCGATGGCGACGAAGATGTTAACAGGAAAGCTGCTATGAAAGTGATACTAGCGACAAGAGATTCGCTGACGAGAAATTGGTTCGAGCAGGCCGTCATGGAGCTAGTAGCGAACAAGCTGAGCGGATGTCGCTGTGACGAATTGAGCGTGGAAATCTACTACACCGGTCAGGGGGGGCATAATAGTGCCATCGGAGGCCCGAGTGAACTAGAAGACAAGTCCCAAGTTTCGAATGAAAGCCTTGGCTCAGGGACGAAAGCGTTGTCGACAGATGTACGTCGCTCAGAGGAAGCCGCATCAAACACTATCCAGTCTGCGCTCACCCCGAAGCATGTATCGCAACGACCGGACCTTCCAGCAATCATTGCCGACGCAGCAGAGTACGGAAGTGAAAGTACGTCTGTACTGGTTTGCGGTCCGTTGAGTATGCAGAGCGATGTGTCGAACGCTGTTGCTCGTGCGCAGATCGGTGGCATGAAGGATGGGAAACGGGATGTGTATCTGCACATGGAACACTTTTCGTGGGCTTAAGCATCAGGACTAGAGAATAGAATACGATTTAGAGCGATTCGCATGTGCAGTGAGAACCGTCTGCAAATGGAAGTCGTGTTAGCTAGCATTATCGTGGATTGATCACAATGACGTAATGCCCGCGCTAAATGACCTTGTTTGGGCCAAATGGCCTGAGAACTCCCAGAAGACACCGCAAGCCTCAGCAACTCCTTCACACCCAAATGGATGGCCTACCGCTGCCAGTTTCAGGAACCCCACGGTTTTGCGAGCCTTGTATGAAACACATGGTCAGCGACGATGCTGGGGCCAACCGGGTGACGCATACATTTCCACCGTTCCTCAGTACGCGTCATACACCACTGATCACGAAGAAGCAACCAGGTGTCACCATCGCTTCCTACGCCAAAATTAGTGCCGTTTGAGAGATGGTACAACATGTCGAGCACGCAGACGCCGTGCGATCATCCTAGGACTGGCTGAGCTGGCTTCTCAGAACGCGTCAATGGGCCACGACAGGCGCACGGGAAGTTGACCAAACACAACAGAGATATCGGTCCGGTCATTCAAAGAGCTTGCCGACGTCAAACTCAGTATCAGTCCCGTTCCGCACTAGGACCTTCACGCACGTTGTCGAAGACGGTACCATTTGATTTTTCATCCTTGTAGGCGAGTTTATACTGCGGCCACACCTCGGTGTACGTGATTTTGGACCAAATCCTACGTGATAAGACTCGCATGCACGACTATCGGAAGTAAGCCTCCGTTCACATCGACTACTCGAAGCCGCAGAAGCAAATTTGTGCACGCGATGCAGCGAGATGCCTATTCTGAGACGACGAAGCCGTGAGAGCCTCCAGGACCTACAGCCTCTTTACTGCTGGCGTCTGTAGAACGTCGCATCGACCGAAAGATGAGAAATCAGCGCAGCTTTAGTTCGCATGGGTTCTGGCCGAGGCTGTCTTATAATAGCGGGTCATTGCACATCCCGTGGCTTCGCGGCGCGGCTTCTGCCGTCTGGAAAGGTTCACCCGAGCGGCGAACCCCTGTCTGGAACACCCCAGCTACACCCCCACGGCTCTCGGCTTCAAGAGAACAACAATACAGGTTTGCCGGTTTACCGGTTTACTACTGGGATAGCTAGATACTTCGAACAGCCTTGGAGTTGATAGCTGGGCATCCATCGTGTATGAGTTTGTCTTCAACATGGTGGCATACCAGGAGCACAAATCTCAGCTGAAGCTGTAGGCACTGCATACCCCAAATTGACGGATCGGGACGCACCGACCTGTAGGCCAAAAGCTACGTTGGTCCGACCAGTGCGAAAATGTTCATAGCACTGGGATATGAGAGTCCTGGGGACTTTCGGGTGATTTTCAGAGTCAAGAGATGTGTGATTGCAATCTCTCAGCCTTACTTCATCCTGGTCAGTCTCGGGACAGACCAAGCGTGGCACCCTCGGTGCTGTGATACCTACAGGGCGTTTACTGGAGACCTGCCAAGCTCAAAGGATGGTTATGGTTGGGTCGCAGGCTACATGTGACGAGCAAGCCATGGGGTCCCTAGGATGTGGTACGCTGTCGATATGTCGGCCAAATGTGAAGAGAGGACCTGAGGCTCGATGTTGCTTGGTGCAGCCTATATTTCGCCTGTCTGCATCAACGCGAAGTATTTGTTGACCGTCCGGCTATTTACAAGTCTTTTGTACCAACAGTACTCTGGAGCGACAGTCAAAATGTATCACAACTACTCAAAAAGTATGATGGTCGCCCTGGCCGTGGCTTTCATGGTACTGCCATTCGTCTTCGTTTGTTTGCGTTTATGGGCAAAAAGGATCGCTAAGCGCGTGGGTTGGGACGATTTTCTCACGGTTGCTGCTTTGGTAAGAGAACTTTGAGCGGTTCAGTGTGTATTGCATCCTCTGACTGAGCGCTGATAGGCTGTGTCTATGGCTTGCTGCTCCTTACAGTTAGCTAGTAAGTGATTCGATTGGAATGCAGGTTGCAAACTTACGCCGATTGATAGCTGCAATACATGGCTACTTGGGGTCTCATCAACCACTGGATGAAAAAGGCCAGCCCATAATGGACGATCCCGGATTGATATTCTTTGAGCAGGTAAGTACACCCAGCTGCTGATAGCAGTGCAATTGCTAACTTCTCTAGACAAAGTTTGCTCTAAACATGATCTCCATTATCGGACTAGGTCTTGTCAAATCGTCGATTTTGGTGTTATACAAGAACATCTTTGACGTACGAAAGTTTCGAATCGTCGTATACTGCGTGCTTGCGTATGTCGTATGCTGGACCGTCAGCTTCACATTCTCGCATCTATTCACTTGTTACCCCATAACGGTATTCATTGAACCGTACTATGGGAATAGCTG